CCACAGCCTCTGCCTAGGGAAAGCAGCTATCCCACCGTCCTTTCCCTGCAGTGGGAACCAAAGCAGCTGACATCATTTTCCTCGCCCCCGTATGATCCGCACAACAATCCTGTGAGGTACGTTAAGGTTGAAAGTATGTGAATGGTCCATAATCCCCCAGGCAGCTTTTAAAACATGAACCTGGGACCTGCACACCATCCTCTGAAGCGCTCTCAGGTACATATCTGTGGCAGAAATGGGGTGACTGCTGGCACCGTTTCCTATCATTTTTTGCCTTGTGGTATTCTGCTTGTGGTGTGATCTGTCTTTTTTGTGGTGTGGCATGATTATGTTATTGGGTTTGTTTCTGTTGAAGGGGAAGTGATGTGTTGTGAGTGAGGACATATTGTACCTCAGAATACAGCAGGTCCCATATGCAACTGACAATGCCAACTGTCTTGCAGAGGGGGGAGGGAGTTTGAGGTGTGGAATGGAGTGAAGACCAATCAGCTTCCATATGCAAATGACCTTGAAACGCTGGTCCAATCAGAGAAGAGTGGGCTGAAGCGGCCCAGCCGTAGAAGCCCCGTCCCTGCACTCAGTCTGCAGATGGTCCGCTCCTGTCAGAGGCCCAGAGCAGACTGACCTGAACACTCTGGCTGGAGCTGACGTGGGCGGGAGTACACAAAGCAGCCAGCGTCTTCTGACTGACAGTTCAAGCCTCCAAACACTGTTGGTGTGAATTGGAACGTTGGGCCCCACTACGGCTTTATATATAAAGGAGACATTTATATCCCATCTTTCCCATTGTTCAATGCACAATTAAAACATTTAATATCAGTGAAACCCCAAATTATTCCCACTCCAACCTAATAAAACCTAATAAATAGAATCTCTCTGTCTGTACATTATTTTAAATGGAGGAGCATTCAGTCATACAAACTCCTGCTAGACGGGAGGACAGACCAGACATAGCTTTCCCTCTGTGTCTACTATTTGTGAAGATTTACGCTCATTTTCAGTTTGTCTTAGTTTATTAACCTGGCTATCATTCTCACAGCTTTATTAACTGAATTTTTGACTGTTAACCACCCCATGAAAATGAAACTCAAATTACATGAGCTATTCAAATGATAGGGAAATACATAGAAATGTAAAATATGAAGGGTATGAGAGGAGGAGGAAATTGTAAATAATTAGAAAATAGTGTCTTTTATTAATATACACACAATATATGTAACTCTGCATTTTTCTAGTGTTGAAATTCTTTACCCTGCTATAAGATCTGTAGCCATACGTATGGGTCTGGAAGATGAATTCGAAGGTTTTGTCACTACATCTCAGTGTATATTTCCCCTTAAAGAAGCTTCAGAAGCTGAGCTCAAAACACAGCAGGTAAAGCAAAACAGAAGACACGAGGAGGTTGTTCTGTAAAGTATAGAGAAATATATTTTCTTTAAAAATATTAGAAGAAATCCAACCCTTGCCAGATCTGTAAAATTTGAATTTCTATCTAAAGGTCTAAAATTGATTACCAACTGATTATGAACTAAAGTGCAGCATATTGTTTTAACAAGACATCAGCACTCCTTGAAAATGAATTAGTTACTTGAGGGTCAACTGAATGTCTGTACTTATTAAACATTATTTATTTTATTATTTTTTTACTAGCACTTTAGTATGTTATATGTATGGTTTTAGAATTTGTGTTTAATGGATTTTATAACTTATATTTATATTGTATTTTTTAATATTGTGCCCTGAGCCAGCTTTGCTGAGAGGGCGGGGTAAAAGTCGACTAAATAAAATAAAATAAATATTATTTAATTTGTTTATATCCCGCCTTTCTCCCCAGTAGGGACCCAAAGCAACTTACATTGTTCTCCTCTCCTCCATTCTATCCTCACAACAATCCTGTGAGGTAGGTTAGGCTGAGAGTGGGTGACTGGCCCAAGGTCACCCAGTAAGCTTCCCTGGCATGAGTGGGGATTTGAACCTGGGTCTCCCAAATACTAGTTCAACATTCTAACCACTATATCACACTGGCTCTCTACTTTCTACATTACTCAGGCAAGTAAGAATTCTCTGTCAACCAGAAGACATACACCTAGCGCAAATGTTTCCCATCAAAAGTAACCCTGTACTCTGCCATTGTGGTTACTGAATGTCAGTTGTCGTTATATCCTCTTGTCTTTTTAATGTACATAAAATATCTTCTGGTTCCAGCTTAAAAAGCTCTTGGAAAGTCTAGAAATACATATTATTCACGATGTGCAAAAGAAAACAAACAAAGAAATGACATTGGTTATATCTGAAAAAGCAAGAGAAGAGAGAAACCTTCCTACTGGTAATGACTGCACATGTTTAATATCTTGCTCATTTTAATAAGGTCTCTGTTATCTTGTGCTGAGGTGGCTCAAGTGGTTAAGATGCTGAACTGCAGGCTGTGGAAGGTCAGTAGTTCAGCAGTTCGAGACCTGAATTGCCATATGATGGAGTGAGCTCCCGTCTCTAGTTCCAGCTCCTGCCAACCTAGCAGTTCGAAAGCAAGAAATTGCAAGTAGATAAATAGGTACCACTTCATTGGGAAGGTAACAGCGTTCCGTGCACCTTGGTGTTTAGTCATGCCGGCCACATGACCACGGAAATGTCTTCAGACGGTGCTGGCTCTTCGGCTTTGAAACGGAGATGAGCACCGCAACCCTAGAGTCAGACTCGACTGGCTTTCGAGCAAAGGAACCTTTACTTTACCCTTTATCTTGTGCTAGCCAAATCAAAAGATAATGTGCAACTTCACACAATGAATGGGGCGGGGCAGCCCATGCTTCTGAAATACAGGCTGTCAGTTTAGAATAGCAGCCTCTCTGCCAGTTACTGGAGAGGTACACCAGAAGGCTCTAGAGAGGGGATGCACAGCGTCTAAGTAAAAACAAAAACAAAAAAAACCACAAGAGTTTATTAGTACTTTCAAACAACACATATGTAATAATATGTAGTTGGAAAAGTGAACTGTTATGTGAATTGAGTGATTTCATAACTAATAGAGTCTTAAGATGTTTAGACAAATGTTAGTCCACAGTGAAATATGTAATATTTGTGCTTGATGGAAGGAGATCTGCAGTTGTGCCTGGATTGGGGACCAGCCCATGAGAGGGAGGAAGAGAGAAGGACCACAAATTTATTGCTAGGGAGAATCAGGCCACAAATTTGTTGATTACAGGTTCCTCAGGTCCTGGTGAAGCATAAACTGGAGACAAGTGTAGTTGATAGCCCAACTGCTTTCAGCACCTTCCCCGAGGCCGGTTGGGGTAAGCGAGGGAAGAGGGCTGGTATTAGGGCTGGAAGCATCAGAAACTGCTCTTTCTACTCATCACCATCTTCCTGGGGGTGTGGTCAATGCATTGACCCCAAGGTTGGCTGCCATGCACTCTCCCCCCAGCCCCTTAAGGGGACCCCCCTTTTGGTCACACTATGAGCCCACCCTACACAACCTGTGCTATGATCCCCAGCCAATGCCTAAACGTTAGCAGCCAATTGTGATGGTTATGATCTTTTTAACTGTACAATCATGCATACACTATATGTTCTTTGCTATGGGGAAGGCGAAAACCCTGGGGCCTGTTAGCCCATTAGAGCCCTGAGTAAAATTCATCTCTGGTCCTGTTAACCAGTGAGCCCCTGCAGACATAGCAAAGGATGGGTAGCCACACAGAAAATAAACTCAGAAAGCATGGGGTTGGAGGGGGTGGCCAGGAGAGAGTTCCTGAATGTCCAAAGCACCTGCAGACCACTCCTATTCAATATGAGCTGAAGATCAGAAAGTAACTTGCAGCCCCCAGGTCCACCGCCATGTCCTTCCCAGTGATGGGAGTGTGCTCCTTGAGGGCTACCTGGCTGACAGCCACTGCTAGGCCCAACTATCCAGGGTCATCCTTGTCTCCCTCTCCCGGCACAAATGATGCTCCAGCTGAAGGCTGAGAACTAGACTTTTACAAATATTTTGTTCAAGTTTACTAGTGTGTGCGTGTGTGAAAGAGAGAGAGAGAGAGAGAGAGAGAGAGAGAGAGAGAGAGAGAGCACTCCCAATCTATGTGGTGCTTTCCTATACATGAATATCCTGCCTTCTGGAGGCAACTGCCATTGGGAGCACTGAAAGCAGCCTCCGTAACAGGGCTATTTTGTATGCACCAATACCAATGATTTCAAGGAACCTTAAGTAATTGGTGTTGAAGATTGCAACTTCCATTGTTCTATTATTCTGAAAGTTGCTGATGAAGTTCTTTTCTCTGTTCTTTCAGAGCTCTGGAAACATCGCAGCATGCAAGAAAACTTCTCAGTTACTAGACCAGAAATAGTCGAGTCATTTATTCAGAGGCTAATGGAAAATCACCAAGAAACTGATGCAGAGGTGCTCAGGTTATATTTCTTTAATAGAGAGTCAGCTTTCATATGGCAAAATCATCTTAAGTTATAACGTTGATTAGAGAGAGAGAAACACAGACTTCTGGTTAATTAAAATGATATTAATTGACTGTAATAATGGACAAAAAAGCAGTAGAGCAGGAGTCCAGTAGCAACTTAGAGACCAATAAAATATATAGCCAGGGTATGAGCTTTCATGAGTCTCTGCTTGCTTTTTCAGAAAAGCAAGGAGGGATGGCAAGAAGGGAGATTACACACACGCACAAAAGTGAGGACCTGAAAGGAATTTATGGGAAGGGGGATTCCCATTCTTCATACCTTTGCTTCCTCCCCTCTCCCCCCACCCCTTCTGTCATTCATGCTCTCTCCCCTTCTTTCTCCTCCACAGCTTCCTGCCACTGTTCTCTCCCCCTTCCCCCACCCTTTCACTCTTCCACCCCTGATTCTTTCTCCCCACCTTAGCTGTCGCCCCCCCCCCCCCAAATCACTGGCCTGTTTCCCCTGCCTCCAGCATTGCCACATTTGGGATGGAGTTAAGACTTCCAGAAGCAGGGTTTTTGGGCAGCAGGCGGGAGGATGGGAGGGGGGGCATAGGATTCGCCACTTCCTTGCCAAATTGTCCACCTCCAGGCCACCTGCCTCAGCAGCATTTCAGGAATGGGGGAAGGGAGAGGCAAAGACTCCCCCCTCTTCCTCAGGCAGGGCAGCGGTTCCAAAGTGTTCCTCCAAACACTTTGACCTTGCTGCTTTCCCCAAGCCTCATAGCAACTGCAGCATTTCCTCCTTGTCCACCTGCCCCCACTCTAAGCTGTGGAGTCTTGTGAGCAACAATTCTACTTTGCGAGCTTCTGTTATTAAAGTTGTGAGCGATCGATTTGGCTACTGCATAAATTAGTTTGCTCTGGAGCCATTCTTCCTGATCTAAGACAAAAATGTGTGAGCTGGAGGCTAAAAAACGGTGAGCTACCTCACACTAACTCAGCTTAGAGGGAACACTGGAGTCCAGTAGCACCTTAAAGACTAACAGGGTATGAGCTTTCCTGAGTCACTGCTCACTTCTTCAAATTCATGAGGTTCTGGGGTATTAGTAAGAACAGGGTGTAGGAATGTAGCTACAAGGAAGAGGTGGTGGGAGAAATGTGGCAAGATACCTGGGGCTGGTTGAAGCAAAAGGAAGAAGCACGGAGAAGAGGAGCTCCAGAAGAGAGTGGAGGAGATGAAGGACAGGTGCGGGAACTAGGAATAATAATATGGGGAACTGTGCTGGCAGGAGAAAGAAAGAGAGGAAGATGAGGATCTAGAGAGGTATTCATACATTGCCTGATGCTGAAGTGTGAGCATAGTCAAGAATGGTGGTGGACAATCCTGAGCTAAAGCTGAACCTAACCTGGTGTGCTAAAAAGAATTTCTTTTATACTCCAAAACTTCTCTGCCAGTGATGGGAACAATGTTTCCCAGATTTGTACTGCTCAGGATGCTTGATGAGTAGCTTGGAATGTCAGGCACAGGCACAGGTCATTCATTTTGGTCTGTATGTGGGGAGATTCCATGGAGTCACGAGAGAAGCTCCTGATGGAAGGGTGTGACATATCCCACAGGAACCTGGCTGTCTCTTTGTGAGAGCATCTTGTTTCAATGAACTCCTATTGTGATTATCTAGTTTTATCAAAGATATTGTCTTCCTGCACCTTTGACTTTGTGGACCCAATGGGTGGGTGGGAGGCACACAGTAACATACATTGCTCAGACTTTGTGTTATCACTATGTAACATGTTGTTAGATCCCAAATCAGGAGAATAGATCCACGTTCAAAAAGAAGAAAGATTTATTTCCAAAGCATGGTTGATCACGAACATACAGAGATTGTTAAGAATAACTACAATACCCAGGGAAGGTGTATTAAAAGGAAAATCAAACCAGGTTTAAACCAATGAACATATTTCCCTCGTCAGGTTCACAGATTAGAAAAGGCGCGAAGCGGGCTGAGAACAGCAACGGCCAATTCCATAAACACAGGTTGAGTTCACACGGGAAACCTAAACAAGCCAGAGCTTCAAGACATAACACCACATCACACCAGCTGGAGACCTTGGCAGTTACAGAGGCACTACATGAACAGGATAAGGCTTTGGGAGACAGGGAGGGGGATGGGACACGTCCCAGGGAAATGGCAGCTCGCTGACACATGTGCTAGATCAGCTTGTGTTGTTGTCTGAAAACATTTTGTTGCAGGAGTTTCAAATTTCATTAGGTGGATTATAAACTGATTCTTCAAAGAGCAACCTGCGTAATATAGGGAGGCCTGCAAGCTTCTATGAAATGTGGTATTAGGGCTACAGTGTATACATATATACATATATGTATATGTGTACATATGTATACATATATACATGTATACATATATACATATAGCATGTATACATATGAAAAAGGGTGGTGGGGTAATAATATGGACTTTATTCTTTAATATTTCTATTGCTGTATTATAGAGTTTTTACATTACTGCTTTTGTTGTAGCGTCTTCTGTTACACAGCTCTGTCTGGTGTTTTGGGGTTTTACAACTACCAGTGTCCAGATTTAACTGTTTATAATCAAGTGAAGTGTCTACTTTCACTTTCTGCTGAAGGTGGTGATGTCAGCTCCTGTGGGTAATCCATACAATACTGAAATATCTAAGAGCCATTCCTTGTAGTTTTGTTATATATGCCATATTCTTACATTGGTCCCATGTTATGTACTGCAAGATATATTGTACTTATTTCTGAACAGTCTTTAGCTTCCTTCTAACATCAGTAGCTAAGAAAACTCTCCTCCTAGTAAATAAACTGACATATAGAGAACTTTAGCTGCTTCCACACGTGGATGATTCCCTGTTGTGCAGCATCAATCAAATGTTCAATGTTTTCCTTGGTATCCCCTCATGCCTACCCATTTCACCCTCCCCACCACACCACCTTCTTGCTGGCCTTAAAAAAAGATTGGTACTAGCTATATTGTTGGTGTTTTAACACTATAGAGATATAGCCACTGCTAATTTTAAAAGCAAGAAACCCTGTGGTGACAGATGGGGGGAAATGGTGGGCTCATGGGGATACTGAGAGAAAATGGCACCAAGGAAGGCAGGTGTTGGAAATGTGTGTGTTTCCAAGGTCTCACAATCCAGTCATTATAGGGTTAACTTGTGTACCCTGTATTGCTATTGTTTAGACGGACCTGGAAGGGAAACCTGGCACAGAGCCAATGGAGGATTAGCCGGGAAAAGTAACTTCTATTGTGATACAGATTGGTTGTTTGTTTCAGGTGACTTCCTTTCTAGGGGTCGAGAAGAAGGACAGATTCTCCATTGTCTGTGTGTTAGTGTGTGACTATGTTTTGAGAAGTAAGCAGTAGAAAATGTAGCTCTTAGGAGTTTGTTATTTTGTAGGTTTCCTGTATACCTTTTACCCTTAGAAATAAAGGTGTTTTTTTCAAACGCAAAGAAATCTCTTCTTTCTAATAGAGCAAGGTCCATTGATACTCTGAGTAATTTAAATACTTTTGACTATTTTACAAGAGCAGGGAGGTCTGAAAATTCATTATCTTCCCATCCATCCAGTGACCAAACCTGCTTTGGATCACAATCTAAAAAGATTGTACCAAAACAGGTTTGGGAAGAAACACAGTGAGGCAGGGGAGAACCCTGAAAGCAGGTGATTGCACAGTCATGCTGTGTGGAACTCAGGAAAACAATACTGAAGTCTTGGATGCAAAGCAGAGTTAATGGTCCATGTGCATGAAGCCTGTGACAAACCTTTAATGCCATGTGGGGACTGATGAACAATCTCTAGTGCAGTGTCTAAGCTAACTCCAGGATACTAGCATTTTTCTTGCATTTCTTCTTGACCCAGTGGTTTAGCTCATGGTTGAAAACCCTTTTGAATTTTAATACTCTTTTGTTAAAACTGAAACCAGGTCATCAGTCCTATTTTGTTTTAATAACTGATGCACTATCATTGCAGAAATATGATTTTAAAAAATTAACACTGTTCATCAATTTCAAGAAGACTTCCTCCCATGTTGGAAGTATGAAATAAATAAGTTCTTTTTGTTTTAAAGAACTTGAATATTGTCATGAGAGTTTCATGCTCATGGACAAAATCTAGTTCTGCTTTTGTATCTTGGTCCCTTTACTACTTAGATTATGGTCTTGTGGAGTGGACTGGGTGGTTTGTGTGAATTATGGAATGGTATAAAGACTTCTTGTCGAATCTACATACTCCTATTTGTATTAGCAGGGAGTACCTGGGAACTCCCTGAGAATACAGTACTTTCAGCCTACCATTACATATGTGGCAAAGTGACATCAGCTATTATAAAATTATATGCTAGCAAGAAACTGGATTCATTTATTCCAGCTGCTGTATATTTCAGTTCACCCCACAACTGGTCTGAATGTGAAGAGTAGGTTTGCTTCATTTTGCCAACTACTTTTCTCCATGATAATGTACATAAAGTGAAATAAAATTTCATTAAAATTACATCAGGATAAATGAAGAGAGGTATGTAAATTAGCCCTAAACAAAATATAGTTTCCATCCATCATCAATCATTCATTCATTCAGTTGATTTATATCCCACCGTCCTCGCAAGTGGGCTCAGGACAGCTTGCAAGGTCACATAGAATATCGTGACAGAGAACAATATATAAAATTCAAACAATTACATTTAAAGCCCCCCCAATAACAGAATTTAACCCCTCCCCCAAATAACAGAAGCAGCACCTGTAATGTTAAAAATGAAAGTGGTCGTTGTGGCCATTGCTGGGCAACTATAACAGTATTCCCAGCCTTAGTTTCTGTCGGTAAAAGGCAGCGGGAGGGTGCATGCTCTTTCCAGGGCTGTTTTGGCCTTCTTTCAAATACAACAGAAATGAAGAACAGGCCTTTGAGAGAGAGCTTATCAGGGTCAGGCCTGGCAGTAGCAGCTACTGGGCAACTTGATGCCAC